GGCTTGTCATATAACATCATCATTATCATGATATCTTTGATTTGAAGAATGATATCCCTGACTACGTCATATTGGAGATTACAAAAGGCTAGAATAGAGTATTTTTTTGATAAACTCGTAGGTACCAGTGTCGGTTATATAGTTTCTTAGCATCGGTCGAGATTGTCGCCAAGCCAACATTTTCCATTACAAAAACAGTCTTGCGCTTGTTCAAATTTATTGTACATTGAAATTGACATTTATACTATTGTCAATGTCAGTATTTACAGGTATTTCGTTTGACATAAACCCATTCAACGAGTATAGAACTTCTCCATCACGTAGTTCTTTTATTACTTAAGGTAGTTTTGTTTCACGGTTTCTGTAAACAAACTTTTAATTTTTTTGGTCAGTTTGGGGGGGTGACTCAAATTTTGTCAAAAATATCGACTCATTTGAAGTCCCACAACTGGGCACGGGTGTATCTAAGAAAAACTTAAATCTTCGATATATCTTCGATCTAACTTTCACAAATGTACAGTAACAAAGATTCAAATCATAGTTTCATGCCCCTGTAGTATGGGTAGACTATATTTGTAGTCAAACTGCAACATGTAGCAGTAGAGCTCCTTGTGTGAGAGTTCGTCCAGGGAAGTACTGCCACCTTATCTATTTTTGCCGCAAAGCAGTAATGTCAGCATTACTGCGTTCCGATTTTGAAGGGTAAGAGTGCTGGTGAAAATTTCGTGCACATGATAGTAACGTCCTTCTACGAGTCGTTACTCAGTATGAAGCCAACATGGCGGACTATTTTCTAAAGTCTCTTTTTAGAAAATACCCATGCCCATCTGTGCGACATATAAAATATTGATAATGATGGTTCTGTGCTAATCGAACATCAAATATCCACGATTTTCGTAAAGCAAAAACCCTCGAAATATAAAACAATCTACCAAAAGAATAAACATTAAAAGACCTACATTTCCTCAATAAAAGCGCTTATAACACAATATTTCATCTTACCCACATATTGCCAATGAAATATAAGGCTTTAATAATCTTCAGAAAACTGTTACTGGCTCTCTAAACAACGGCGAATAAAATATCTCTTCATAGAAAACAATTCTCTTTTGGAAAAGGACGGAAGATGTAGTAACACGTGAGTGCAAAAGTGATGAAAAATAGCACCGACTGAATGCTATGGCCCGAGGCCGAACGAACGCAATATCCTAGAGAATAACTACAAAAATTTTTGTGTTGGGTATTGATCGATGTTTTTGTCGATAGTTCGGTTAGATTCTGAATAAATACGCTAATATTTTATTATTATTTTTATGGAAAAATGTTAGCTTGTTGTCTATTTATTTATAACGACTATTTAATTTTAGTCCAAGGCCTAAGAAACTCTTGATTCCAAATATTACATTATTGTACGTAAGTAAAGATAGAAATTAAAGCACTTGTGTACGTTATTTTCTGAACCAACATTAACTAGTTTTTAAACTGTGTTACTTTGGATTTAGGATTTTTTTATATATTTTATAATAATATACTTAAATTATTAATAATTTTTCTAAGACTATAGCTAAAAATAGGGTAGTTTGCTTTAATATTAAACATAACTGTTTGGTAATTGATACCATCTCAGACACATTGGTTCAATTGAAAAAAAAAACAAATATACACGTTTGAAATCTGAAAAAATACTCTCATTTCCAATAACGCAAAAGTAAATATTTTTATTTTATGAAAAATTTGTAATGAAAACAGTTATTATATGTTTTACTCTATGCACTAATCAAAACTAGAACTTGAACTCATGAAGAATCAGTTGCACTAATTACTCTAATTTTTCAAACTTGTCTATATTAAATTGATGTACACTGACCATTAATGCACTGAGCTGGTGTAACAAGTGAATAGCTACAAGTGAAGACTGAATGTTACCAACTCCTTTACTCCTTTTTTACTCTTTTTTCTCCACATTAAATCATTATATTTTATATTAATATACCAACATTGTAATTTCTTTATTGTCAAGAAATAAATCTCTTTTTATTTTACATAATATGTGTATTTTATCGATATCGATAATTTGACAAGTCCCATTACTACCAAGGATTTGTATAAATATGATTGGCTATTGACATAACATATGATAATAATATAGAGAAGAGCTTAATTCATTACCGAGATTGATTCCCCTTTCGGGTGGCGAACATAATAAAATTATGCTTCTGAACTCCAGGCAGTAAACATACAATTTCAGCGTTTCCAACTTACAAATTACACTTGTTCCCTTTTTATCGTCATCAAAGCTACTAAAGAAACAATCGCCTTAGACGAACGAGATCCTGTACTCGAACTGCACGTGGACACTCGGTGCTATCCGATATATTTAAATTAGTTAATTTATATGTCCATGGAAAATTACTGAATTTATACGCTCTGGACGAAGTGAGCTGTTTATTTGTAGTGGCAGGGGACTGGTGCACCGCACCGACCGCGCATGTCGCGCCTCGATCGTCTACTTTATATGTCTGGGTTTTATTTTCATAATATCACGTGACGGGACAAACAAATCATGCGTCGACGGTAAGTTACACGCCTTTAAATCGCAAACATCTGAGGCGCACTGCGTCTAACACCAAGTTGACAAGTCCCATGTGCCTGTAATTTCATCAGCACCCTCACCCTTCACCGGAACACAATAATACTCACTTTACTGTTTGGCGGCAGAAACATGGTAAGGTAGTACTTCCCTGGACGAACTCTTTCACAAGAAGCTCTACTGCTGTTAAACTTTTATACCAAGTTTGATACCCGGCAGGAGTTTAGTTTACTAGTTAACTCGTGTGGCTGCTGTTACCTCAAGGACGGCTGTGCCTTAGTTAGTTGCCTTGGATTCAGTAGAGCGAAAAGCAAAAAGACTAACTGACAATGAATTTCTAAAAAAATTTCTAAGGCGATTCTTTCTGAAGTTTATTCTAATTTCTATTAATAATTAATAATAAATTAAACCTAATAAAAATTCATTCAATAAAATAATTTGTAAAACTTAATGTAGCGTAAATTGGAATGTTTTCTTTGTAAAATTAAAAATAAGGTATTTAATTAATAACTATTGTAACTATAGTGAAAAAATGGGGTGGTTTGCATTAATATTAGACATAACTGGTTGAAGACTGTACCACCTCAGTCAACCGTGACCATGGGACCTGTAAAGGGCCCGAAACGTCGGTTTGTTTGAAAAAACAAATATACGCGATTTAAATCCGGAAAAATAGTTTCATTTCCTATGTGTAACAATCGCGAAAACCTAAGAACTCGAAATGAATTTCTTGTTAAATCGAAGCTTCAATTTTTAGATTACCTCAGGAAAGTGCCTGCTTGTCAATTTTCTATCGACTAGATTTTTTACATAGAATAATAGATTCACGGTTTCTCACTCGGTCTACTAGTAAGTCCAGAACATCGAGTATGTAACCAGAAATAGAAACGAAATAAGGGCCATCCATTCCTGGTAACTCATCTGGCAAATGTGTTTTATATCACTTTTAAATATCAACTCTTCTTTGCGCTAAAATCACATATAGAAAGCTGAAATGGTACAGCGCCTACAACTAACCTGTATGCGTCTCCGTGTATTCCAAAAATATTCTGTATTTATGGTAAAAAAATGGGGGGCTGTTCCATTCGGTGGTGTGGGAAAAACAGCAAAACATCTAATTACGAAACAAATGAAATCATATTTCATCGGTAATTAAATATTAAGTAAATACATATTTTTTTAATTTTCGTCCATTATAGCAATGCTCAAATTAAAGTGGTCGATTTGAAGTGAAACAATTGACGACACCCGTCAATTGTTTCGAATTTGAGCTGGTCAATCGGAGCGCAGTTGTCACCGTAATAATTTGGCAGAATAGCTTTCAAACAAATTACATGACATTTCGTCTCGTTTTTTGTCTCTATTTCCGGTTATATACTCGATGGTCCAGAAACACAAGTTCAGATAGCATAGCTTCACACGAAGAGCTCAGCTTCATTTTGCTCGATGCGTATTCCAAAGGAATGGAGTATACTGCAGACATCTTTATCCCGAAAGCTTTATTCAACGCTAAAGTACATAGCATGCGCGACAGATGAGTAACATAATTTTTCAGCAAAATGCTTACAAGCTTACAATGGGCAAGCAAGCTGGACCAAGATCTATCAGAAACCTCTATATCCTATATACGTCGACTCAGGAAAAGTTCTTGACTTTATTACCGATAATCTATTCCATAAATCTGACTCAAGTTTGATCTCAAAATCTTTGTAGGGTTCGAAGCGTCATGTTGTTTTAATTCCGCCATTAATTCTGAAGGCATGATCTAAAGACCGATTTAAATTAAGGAGAAGTGCTTATGTTTTTGCCTTTAATGAGTAGAAACATTGTACCACATTTTGCTAAAAAACTACGTAACAAGGTTTTTATTTGGCCAATCCACGATGATTGTTACAAGTGCCGTATCCAGAAGTAGGACTTATATGGGTTGAAGGTAACAAATAATTTTGGCTAGAGGCATCTAACTCGCAAATATGTCCAATTTCTTAAAAAAACCATAGATTAAATGTATAATAATTACTAGTATAAGCCTGATCTGAATGTCTATCCTGGACAATTATGTAACTATAAAGGACCAATGTATCTTTACCCTGAGCTGCATACAAATCTGTAGTATCGGAAATTCAATCTTAATTTGACAAAATTTGTCATGAACACGTACATAATTAGTTTTATTGCAGAAAATACAAATTTAATCAAACTGAATTATTAAAATATAAGTAAGCCATATTGGTTCGAAGCGTTGAACTTGATGAAATTACTTTATTTTGCCCAGCGCGGGACGGAAATGTTCTCGACCAATCAAAAACATTAAATTTTTTGCACTTCGCAAATCAAAGCAGCGTGATTGGTCAAAATCATTCCCAGCCAATGACAGCTGTGCTTAAGTAACATAAGAATATTAACTTACTGTATGTTCGGAAGTCGGTGACCTGCACAGTGTTGCAATCTTCTCCGACTTGAATATAGGTGATCTCGCAGAGGAAGATCCCTTCGTCTTCGGCCTTTACGTTGGCAATCACCAGCTCAGCAAATGAGTCATTGTTCTTGTATGATATCGACATTCTGCAGACAAAAGAGAATTAAATATTAGTAAAAGTGAATATATTGCAATAGACAGATAAAAGATATATAACGCACACACGTATAGACATACACAACTTACTAATAAAATAATTATAGAAATAGTTATGCCTATAATATATAAATATTTTTAAGAATCCACCCCGTGGCAGTCCAGCATGGATCCGACCGCAGAGGCAATGTACTCTCCAAAAATACTAAAGTCACCATCTGTAAGCTAACAACTAGACGAGACCAAACACAATAATTCTACTACAAGTAGTTGAGGAGATGTGTAGTCTGAGATTCGGTCTGTAGTTCAGTAGGGCTAGCACGACAGGGTGCGATTTATGCGAGAGCGACTTAATACGCGAAATATCTAACGCCTCGGCTACGAAAATATCGCCACGCTTGAAGCGTCAATTAACTGAAAGCGTAAATTTTTAAGCGTCATAATCTCACTACAGAGTCCTAAAAAAAACTGTCCTCAAACGTACGTGGAATTACATCTATTTGCCAAGTTTTATTTAAATCGGTTACCGGAAAGTGCGCGAAACCGGTTTCTTCCTCTAATTTGATCACCTGATGATGATGATGATGAACTCTTATGTTCATCTGACTTACAAGTCGAATAATAAAATCGAACAACAAATTTAATTGGAATATCGAATAAGAATGAATATTTCTTACAAGATTCTCTTGTATATATGCAGATACGGCGTCTCCCATACCGTACCGTATCATTGTGTCGCGGTTGACGCCCGGCCAATTAGAGCCCTTGAATTATTTACGTAATTCTACACATATGGCTCTGACCGTCCAGACGCGTACGGTCGTCCGTAACTATCTTTATTAAAATAAGACGCGCCATTGAAACTTCAGAGGGTTTAAAAGTTTTAACGTTCAGAAATTACGACAACGAAATAGTATACACAAGGCCCAAAATAAGATTAGGTGATTCATTAAAACTAATGCCAAACGCACGCCCCTAATCAATTTAGAAAATAGACTACTTAATTACAACTCGGAAAAGGAAAATCAGAGTTGGGGGAGGGAAAACTGTAAAGGGAGCACACGCAAGTTTTAGAACTCTCTTTTTTCCGACCTCAAACTTCGTAATAACTTCCTGGAAGGACCTGTTATCTATAATTACATTGACAGGTGAATTAAAGGAATCACTATAGTTTATCTACCTGTGATTCTTTTATAAGTATTTAACGAGATTTTACCTCATCGATGTAGATTTTTTTACGACATGGTGCAGGACGGAACAGAATAGCTACTGGTTAAGACTGAATTCAATGAAAGAAAAAATTATATTTATTTATTTGTCGAATTAAAACCTTCAGTATTTTTATAATGCCGACTGAAAGTGTTGATTACAGAATTAAATCCTTTTAAGTAACATTAGATCTTAACTTAAAGGAACACCACTTAATTATGGACATTAAAAAAAATAAATTAACTTGAAACTAAGAATTGCAATTGCAATTAATTTATCAAAATATTCAAAACGTGATCCATCTTTTTATATGCAAAGTCTCAATCTTTTATGAGTTTGCTGCCCATGGATTTTGTAATCTTATTATTATGTATATTTTGTGGTACACGTCCTGTATACGGCACGATCACATGTACCACAAAATATGCCACATTATTTTTGCAATGCCAAGTGACGTTTGTTAAATAAAATAATATATCCTGTAAATGAGGGAACCTCTTTTACCGTGGGATGAGGTTACCAATACAGCAAACTGAAAACTCCAAATTTTTGTTCAGAAAATTTATTTTTCATCTTGTATAACGTCAGTACACTTTCACCGTATATACGGAAGGTCCGGGCAGTTGTTCCCAAGAAAGGACTCACTCCTGGTAACCGTTCCGCGAGATGAGGTTTATTCACCCTATATGATGGGTAATAATATTTCACCCTATATGATCGTACGTGGTATCAGAATTTGTTTGTATTCGAGTAGTCACCATTCGAGGGAAAATCTTAACACCGCGATTCAGAAATAACGCTTAATGGGTCAACGCCATCTATTAATATCTTCGTGTACAATAAGGTGCCTTAATAAAAGTCAATGAGTGACAAAATTGTCTTCTCTTGTAAATTAAACTCAGTTCGTTGAGACACAATTCCAACTTTCCAATTCTGCACTCTCATTGTTAGACCATTACCCAAGCTGAAAGGACTAGAAAAAAAAAATCCTAACCCCACTAAATCTTTGCCGCTGAAAGCCGTACTTGCTTCGGTAATTTTTGCGGCAGTAGTTTGTTTCCTGGACCGTTCTCTAATTAGTTTTTAACGAGAAAAAGTCCTCAAGTAATCTTATGTTAATTGATATATCTGTTTAGAAGAGCCGTTATTTTAATTGAAGAGCTTATAGTTTTAACATGCGTTTGAAATTGGCTACCAAACGTTTAAGCCTCCGCGCCTACAGTTTTGATCACAGCAACATCGTGATGGGTCATTGCCCTTTTACATTTTGTACTGTAGATATCGTCATATACGGCTGCGAAACGTGGACCTTAAAAGAAGACACTACAAGACGCCTGCAGGCATTTAAGATGTAATGCTAGTGTCGCATGTTGCGCATTGGTTGGACACAGAGGGTCATGAACGAAACCGTGCTTCAGCGTGTTCATATTTCCCGGAAAATGATACCATCTATCAAAATTCGCAAAATAGAGTATCTTGGTCACGTGATCAAGAACAATAGTTACACGCTGCTACAGCTAATAGTGATGGACAAAGTGTAGGGAAAGAGACGCGCTGGGCGAAGATAGAAATCGTGGCTGCGGAACATCCTGTGAGTGGACTCCGCCGAACAGCTGTTTCGGTTAGCTGCTGATAGAGACGAATACAGGAAGCTGACAGCCAAACTTCAGCATTGAAGAGCCACTCTAAGAAGAAGAAGAACTGTTGGTATCTTTAAAAGACCACATCGATGTTGATCAGCCACGAAGACGTAATCTTTTTGTACTTTAGCAAATTTCGAGAAATAAAAGAGGCAATGTATACCCTTCCATAACAAGATTCCGGTGAATATACAAAACTTGCCATTTACTAGGTTTAAATTAAGACTATAGTGAAACAAACCCTAAGTAATGGTACGAATAAGTCGTGCGCCTGATGGTAAGCGACACGCCTGTCCATAACAGTTGCAGTGCCACTCAAAGCTTTAAATTGCAAAGATCTGAGGCGCACTGCTACTGCGGCCGTAATTTCAGCAGAACCCTTACCCTTCAAAACCGGAACACTGTAATGCTGACATTACTGCTTGGCGGCAGAAATAGGTAAGGTGTCAGTACTTCCCTGGACGAACTCATACACAAGGAGCTCTACTGCTACTATATATTAATATGGTATTCTCTACTAGATCTAAATGTTTGAAAAAAATATTGTAAATGATTAATGTATTCAAATGTATATTTACAAAGAGCAACCCTTAGAGTTTCTTTCTCATTCTTCTCAGGGGAATCTGCCTTGCCAAGGAGCGGTAGAGTTTATTCAGTATGACGATTTCAAGTGTAATTTTCTTACCTATGAAATAAAGATATTTTGATTTTGATTTTGAAAATGAATATAAATATTAGACAACATCACATATGTACGTTGCTTTGATCCCAAAGTAAGTAGCTAAAGCACTTGTGTTACGGAAATCGGAAACAACGACGGTACCACAAACAACCAGACCCGAGACAATATAGAAAGGTTTGTTTTCTACAATTACCCGGCCTGGGATTGACGACATCACGACGAAATACTATAGGTAATTGGCAAGTATCGAAGTTATGTAATCTTGCATGTATGGCAGGCGTTCTCTCCAAATTGTCAAAGCGCCTTGTAAACATTGTGCTTTGGAATAGTTGTACATTCTGCTTCAAATGGAGTATTCCCCACCTGGCAAAATATTGGAATAAAACGCTCTCTCCGTAACAGTAGTTAATTTGTCGATGCCAATTCCACCTTCTGTGACACGATATAAATTAGTGTACAGTAGCTTATATTCAGTACAAAACTATACGAGTTATATACCAGTTAACTAGAATAGAAGAGAAACCATTTATTACATAACGAAATAACACAATAATACACTGTAAGAAATTAAAAAAAAAATAAAGCTAAATAAAAATAAAAATAAAAGGAATTAAAAATAAAATCTTAGTAAAACGTAATGGAATGATCACAAAGATAATCAACACTATGGTGTACTAAGTAGATGTCATGTATGTGGCTGTGCCGTATGTAAAAGGATCTACTCAGCTAAAGTCACCGCCGGAATAAGGCTGTGACGCTGATTTTCAATAGACCCTAAAACCGAGCGAGTACTGGACGTGTGTGGCGCGTATAAACTAAAATAAATTACGTATATATTTCTGTATTGTAGTATGGTCTGTTCTTTTCTTTTATATTTGTAAAATACTTAAATAATTCGTTTGATACTATATACAATGATAAGCGTGTGCAATAGTGTCCGTTATTTACAACAAACAAAATAGAACTTAATTAGTTTTAAACGATACCGATTGCGAGATTTGTGTCACATGGGCGACGCAAGACGAGCGGGTAGGCGCGCGAGAGGGTTCCCCGGCTTACGACCCACAAAGTGTGTCAGCTCCGTATGGCTCCGTTGTAAGCAAACAGGTTTTTTTAAATTAAGACGTCACACGTCCATGCTGCACCGTAGCATTGCTCTAACCATTTGAGCTACGGGTCCTGTGACCGAATCGTTGAAATTCTCCTGTGTTATGTTGTACATTTTTGTACCGACTTTTCGGCTTTCGTCGCCACAAGTGACATCTTATGAGAGGTTTTTGAATAACCTTCTCGCCGCAGCCAATTTTTCTGTGTACTCGATCTCTATATTCATAACCATAACAAAACTAGTAATGGAATTATTTCACAAAAATGTCAATAAATACCAGTTAATTAAGTTTTCACAGCATTCGAGGCTATACAATGTATTTTTTTTAATTGGAATGTAACTAACATTTAG